CTGGTTTCTAGACAGAAAGATGGTGTTTCTTTGCCACAGCAATGCACAGTTTCAAATGGTGTTACTGGACCTAGAAATCTAAAGTTGCAGATGGCGCTACTGGATCAGACTTCTAAAAATAGAACTGGTGCTGTAAGGCCACAAGCATGATGTTAATGACCACATCCATCTGGTGAAAAAAAAGAGATGTGATATACACTTACATGGTATACATGTCAAATAAATTCTTCTTATTAGAATTTACAGTACATTGCAGTCTTATTGGCATTCTTAGGTACTGCTGAGGTACAAGGAAAGTTTATTGAAATTGTTAGTTACTGCTGAGGTACAGGGAAAGTTTATATTAATTTTACTGAAATTGTTAGTTACTGCTGAGGTACAGGGAAAGTTTATTGAAATTGTTAGTTACTGCTGAGATACAGGGAAAGTTTATATTAATTTTACTGGCATTCTTAGGTACTGCTGAGATACAGGGAAAGTTTATATTAATTTTACTGAAAATTGCTTAGTTTATTGAAATTGTTGCTGAGGTACAGGAAAGTTTATATTAATTTTACTGAAATTGTTAGTTACTGCTGAGGTACAGGGAAAGTTTATATTAATTTTACTGAAATTGTTAGTTACTGCTGAGATACAGGGAAAGTTTATATTAATTTTACTGAAATTGTTAGTTACTGCTGAGATACAGGGAAAGTTTATATTAATTTTACTGAAATTGTTAGTTACTGCTGAGGTACAGGGAAAGTTTATATTAATTTTATTGAAATTGTTAGTTACTGCTGAGGTACAAGGAAAGTTTATTGAAATTGTTAGTTACTGCTGAGGTACAGGGAAAGTTTATATTAATTTTACTGAAATTGTTAGTTACTGCTGAGGTACAGGGAAAGTTTATATTAATTTTACTGAAATTGTTAGTTACTGCTGAGGTACAGGGAAAGTTTATATTAATTTTACTGAAATTGTTAGTTACTGCTGAGGTACAGGGAAAGTTTATTGAAATTGTTAGTTACTGCTGAGGTACAGTGAAAGTTTATATTAATTTTACTAAAAATTATCAGTTACTGCTGAGGTACAGGGAAAGTTTATTGAAATTGTTAGTTACTGCTGAGGTACAGGGAAAGTTTATATTAATTTTATTGAAATTGTTAGTTACTGCTGAGGTACAGTGAAAGTTTATATTAATTTTACTGAAATTGTTAGGTACTGCTGAGGTACAGGGAAAGTTTATTGAAATTGTTAGTTACTGCTGAGGTACAGGGAAAGTTTATATTAATTTTACTGAAATTGTTAGTTACTGCTGAGGTACAGGGAAAGTTTATATTAATTTTACTGAAATTGTTAGTTACTGCTGAGGTACAGGGAAAGTTTATATTAATTTTACTGAAATTGTTAGTTACTGCTGAGGTACAGGGAAAGTTTATATTAATTTTACTGAAATTGTTAGGTACTGCTGAGGTACAGGGAAAGTTTATTGAAATTGTTAGTTACTGCTGAGGTACAGGGAAAGTTTATATTAATTTTACTGAAATTGTTAGTTACTGCTGAGGTACAGTGAAAGTTTATATTAATTTTATTGAAATTGTTAGTTACTGCTGAGGTACAGGGAAAGTTTATATTAATTTTACTGAAATTGTTAGTTACTGCTGAGGTACAGGGAAAGTTTATATTAATCTGATTGAAACTGTTTGTTTCTGCTTTGGTACTGGGAAGGTTCATATTAATTTCACTGAAATTGTTAGTTACTGCTGAGGTACAGGGAAAGTTTATATTAATTTTACTGAAATTGTTAGTTACTGCTGAGGTACAGGGAAAGTTTATATTAATTTTATTGAAATTGTTAGTTACTGCTGTGGTACAGGGAAAGCTTATTGAAATTGTTAGTTACTGCTGAGGTACAGGGAAAGTTTATATTAATTTTACTGAAATTGTTAGGTACTGCTGAGGTACAGGGAAAGTTTATTGAAATTGTTAGTTACTGCTGAGATACAGGGAAAGTTTATATTAATTTTACTGAAATTGTTAGTTACTGCTGAGGTACAGGGAAAGTTTATTGAAATTGTTAGTTACTGCTGAGGTACAGGGAAAGTTTATTTATTGAAATTGTTAGTTACTGCTGAGGTACAGGGAAAGTTTATATTAATTTTACTGAAATTGTTAGTTACTGCTGAGGTACAGGGAAAGTTTATTGAAATTGTTAGTTACTGCTGTGGTACAGGGAAAGCTTATATTAATTTTATTGAAATTGTTAGGTACTGCTGTGGTACAGGGAAAGTTTATTGAAATTGATAGTTACTGCTGAGGTACAGGGAAAGTTTATATTAATTTTACTGAAATTGTTAGTTACTGCTGAGGTACAGGGAAAGTTTATATTAATTTTACTGGCATTCTTAGGTACTGCTGAGGTACAGGGAAAGTTTATTGAAATTGTTAGTTACTGCTGAGGTACAGGGAAAGTTTATTGAAATTGTTAGTTACTGCTGTGGTACAGGGAAAGTTTATTGAAATTGTTAGTTACTGCTGAGATACAGGGAAAGTTTATATTAATTTTACTGAAATTGTTAGTTACTGCTGAGGTACAGGGAAAGTTTATATTAATTTTACTGAAATTGTTAGTTACTGCTGAGGTACAGGGAAAGTTTATATTAATTTTACTGAAATTGTTAGTTACTGCTGAGGTACAGGGAAAGTTTATATTAATTTTACTGAAATTGTTAGTTACTGCTGAGGTACAGGGAAAGTTTATATTAATTTTACTGAAATTGTTAGTTACTGCTGAGGTACAGGGAAAGTTTATATTAATTTTACTGAAATTGTTAGTTACTGCTGAGGTACAGGGAAAGTTGAAACTGTTGCTGCTTTGGTACAGGGAAAGTTTATATTAATTTTACTGAAATTGTTAGTTACTGCTGAGGTACAGGGAAAGTTTATATTAATTTTACTGAAATTGTTAGTTACTGCTGAGGTACAGGGAAAGTTTATATTAATTTTACTGAAATTGTTAGTTACTGCTGAGGTACAGGGAAAGTTTATTGAAATTGTTAGTTACTGCTGAGGTACAGGAAAGTTTATATTAATTTTACTGAAATTGTTAGTTACTGCTGAGGTACAGGGAAAGTTTATATTAATTTTACTGAAATTGTTAGTTACTGCTGAGGTACAGGGAAAGTTTATATTAATTTTACTGAAATTGTTAGTTACTGCTGAGGTACAGGGAAAGTTTATTGAAATTGTTAGTTACTGCTGAGGTACAGGGAAAGTTTATATTAATTTTACTGAAATTGTTAGTTACTGCTGAGGTACAGGGAAAGTTTATATTAATTTTACTGAAATTGTTAGTTACTGCTGAGGTACAGGGAAAGTTTATATTAATTTTACTGAAATTGTTAGTTACTGCTGAGGTACAGGGAAAGTTTATATTAATTTTACTGAAATTGTTAGTTACTGCTGTGGTACAGGGAAAGCTTATTGAAATTGATAGTTACTGCTGTGGTACAGGAAAGTTTATTGAAATTGTTAGTTACTGCTGAGATACAGGGAAAGTTTATATTAATTTTACTGAAATTGTTAGTTACTGCTGAGGTACAGGGAAAGTTTATTGAAATTGTTAGTTACTGCTGAGATACAGGGAAAGTTTATATTAATTTTACTGAAATTGTTAGTTACTGCTGAGGTACAGGGAAAGTTTATATTAATTTTACTGAAATTGTTAGTTACTGCTGAGGTACAGGGAAAGTTTATATTAATTTTACTAAAAATTATCAGTTACTGCTGTGGTACTGAAATTGTTAGTTACTACAGGGAAAGTTTATATTAATTTTACTGAAATTGTTAGTTACTGCTGAGGTACAGGGAAAGTTTATATTAATTTTACTGAAATTGTTAGTTACTGCTGAGATACAGGGAAAGTTTATATTAATTTTACTGAAATTGTTAGTTACTGCTGAGGTACAGGAAAGTTTATTGAAATTGTTAGTTACTGCTGTGGTACAGGGAAAGTTTATTGAAATTGTTAGTTACTGCTGTGGTACAGGGAAAGTTTATTGAAATTGTTAGGTACTGCTGAGGTACAGGAAAGTTTATTGAAATTGTTAGTTACTGCTGAGGTACAGGAAAGTTTATTGAAATTGTTAGTTACTGCTGTGGTACAGGGAAAGTTTATTGAAATTGTTAGTTACTGCTGAGATACAGGGAAAGTTTATTGAAATTATTAGTTACTGCTGAGGTACAGGAAAGTTTATTGAAATTGTTAGTTACTGCTGTGGTACAGGGAAAGTTTATTGAAATTGTTAGTTACTGCTGAGATACAGGGAAAGTTTATTGTTAGTTACTGCTGAGGTACAGGGAAAGTTTATTGAAATTGTTAGTTACTGCTGTGGTTGAAATTGAAATTGTTAGTTACTGCTGAGGTACAGGGAAAGTTTATATTAATTTTACTGAAATTATCAGTTACTGCTGTGGTACAGGGAAAGTTTGTTAATCTTTACTGAAATTATCAGTTACTGCTGTGGTACAGGGAAAGTTTATATTAATTTTACTAAAAATTATCAGTTACTGCTGTGGTACAGGGAAAGTTTATTGAAATTGTTAGTTACTGCTGAGATACAGGGAAAGTTTATATTAATTTTACTAAAAATTATCAGTTACTGCTGTGGTACAGGGAAAGTTTGTTAATCTTTACTGAAATTGTTAGTTACTGCTTTGGTACTGGGAAAGTTTGTTAATCTTTACTGAAATTGTTAGTTACTGCTTTGGTACTGGGAAAGTTTGTTAATCTTTACTGAAATTGTTAGTTACTGCTTTGGTACAGGGAAAGTTTGTTAATCTTTACTGAAATTGTTAGTTACTGCTTTGGTACAGGGAAAGTTTGTTAATCTTTACTGAAATTGTTAGTTACTGCTTTGGTACTGGGAAAGTTTTTTTCCACAAATTTTATCGAGATTATTACTTTTACTTTGAACAATTTTTCGGCAGTGTTTGAAATGAATGTTATTTATTTCCAGGTGTCATGGAAATGCTGGAATGAACACAACACTGGATTACTTGGATTCCCCAACGGATGTTACTGCAAGTGATGCAATCAGCAGGACCAAAGACTCCAGTAAATCCAACGGCGACTCCATTAATTCAGAAGGGGACTCAAGTAATGTGACTGGTGACTGCATAAATATGACCGGTGACTCTATCAATGTAGCTAGTGACTCCAGTAATTTGACTGCAAACTCATCCAATATGACCGGTGACTCCACCAATATGACCAGCGACTCCATCAATATGACCAGTGACTCCACCAATATGACCAGCAACTCCATCAATATGACCAGCGACTCCATCAATATGACTGGTGACTCCATCAATATGACCAGTGACTCCATCAATATGACTGGTGACTCCAGTATGTTGGATATTGAGAGCTAAGTACGAATCATTATCACGAAACCGTTCTCATGCTCAAGCATGAATTTTGTGCTCAAGTCTTAAATCTTTCTTTAGTTAAAAATTCAGAAAAAAGAGGCTGATTTTGTCAAAGATTAGAAAATACTTTGAAAGGACTTCAAGCCAGATGCTACATGTTTATATTTGACATTTGTATTATTGGATATAATTTCGGTGAATTATGAAAAAGTTATCTTGAGTACAAAATCTAGGCTTGAGCATGAGAATGGTTTCATGAATACAGGCCCAGGTCTTCTCTCAAGACAGTTTAGAAAACACTATGTTTATGTCACGTGTAGATTCTTTAAAACAAAGATTTATATATTTTTGTTGAAATTTAATGGTGATACAAAATTTCCAGATTATATTATTGATAATTATAGATATTGTTGGACCTTATATCCTATATATATATATATATATATTTGTTAGGTACTTGCTTTGTATTTTGCTTTCACTTATAAATTAATTATTAGCTACAACTCAAGTTTGTTATTAAATCCACTAGATGGTTTTTCACATCTAAGTAAAAGCTACTGTATTTTTAAAGGAAATGAAGACTTTGTATGTAGCTATATATAGAACTGTCCTCATCCAAGCATTTTTGTATATATCTATATAAGTAACTTTCTCAACCCAGCATTTCATATGCATTTATATCAGTTATATATCATTGAGGTGAATTATGGAATGTAAAGTAGATGCATATGTTGTTTTAGCACTCATTTAGTAGAGTGTGGCTTAAATTAATTGCCAAGTCTGTGTATCGTTGATTTGTTCATCATGTACAAGATATATATATATAGACCACAGTATTGTAACATCCAGTTCTACATACCTCAGCTAATATAGGTGGTAATCTGCAATAGTCAAAAGATCGTGGATAAGACATCTCCTGAACCCCTTAACACATTTAATTGACTTGTACTATTTCTGGATTTGGGTTAGCTGGACGTATATCTATATACAGTGTATATAATGAACCTTTGCTCATGAAGGTCTGTGCTTGTTGGGTTTTTTCCCACCACTTGACAGTGCTGCAAAACATGTCCAAGTTATCACCAGCAGTGATTGTATTGTCTTTGACATTTTTTTCTTTGATCATGTTTTTCCATTAAACAGTAGAAAATAATGATGAATCAGAAAGTGATTCATCAATAGCTTCTAGTCTGTGGTTAGCATCCTCATTGTTTTGTTGATGTCTGAAAGTGTTGTTGACTAAATGGCTTCTCCCTATTGCTTAGAACCTGGGAGATGTAATAATGTATTATACCTTCCTGTATCTTTTAGCTGGTGCATTTGTTTTCATAGCTAGGTATAAAGATAATGATGGCATTAGTGAACACAATTATATGTTAATTATTTTTTGTTTATGTCTTTAAATGTTGATAATCATTATGTAGTTACATACAATTGAATGTCTATGATCTCCTGACCGTGATCTGGTCTAATGAATGCAATATTTTTGGCTATGCAATAAAAGGTGCAGGGAATTTTTATATGATGATGATATTTTTGTATGGTTTCCTTCAAAACGCATTTTAATCTGCTGATCACCAAGAGGTTAAAGTAACTCACATCTTATCACATGTCATGTATTTTATGTAATGCCACACTCGCATACAAACTTTTTTGCGTATAAGGGATGTAGCAGTCCCTTTTCTGAACCAGTTCTTCTCATTGGCTAGCCTTTCTTTCCTAAAGCAAGATGTTCAGGACTGTGGCCTTACACTTGATCATTCCTAGTGAAACTTCACTACATGGGATCATGTCCTTAAGGGACCAAATCTCAAATCTTTGTTGCCCATATCCTCTATTTTTTGGGGAATGAACAGGAAATGCTTCACACATAAATTTGTACCATAAAGATTAAGGTCATCCCACAGGGTCCAAGTTTCATTTGAAACTTCGTAGTTGTACTAAAATATCTGTAGAATTTTACATTTTTAAAATATCTTATGTGTCACATCATTTTCAACTTTACCGAAAATTGAATATAAAAAAGTCTGTAGTAGTTTGTAGCTTACTAATGGTATCATTTGAACACATATAATGAGCATAGTTCAGATGAATTTGATGAGACCCTCTTTATTTCAAGAGTTTAAGGACATGTTTTTCATCTACTGCTATAAACACCATAATAAAACAAAGATCCTTGACATAAGGAGAACACATATATCCATTAGTATAACTTGGTTTTAACTTTAAATTACATTTTCCCCAGAGAAATACAGGAATTTGATTAAAAGCTTCTATCATGATCTTATGTCATCACTTACAACAGTGACGATGTAACTTTAATGGTTTAGACCACCCGCAGCAATGCTTTCTAGTCACTGCAACGAAATTTGCAGATTTTTCCTGTTTGGTTGCAAATAAAAACAAATGTTGAGTAAGTTGGTTTTTCATATCAATTATGGTGTACACTTGTGTTTTTCTATAATTTGGTATATAAAACATTTTTGTAAGTGATCCTTACCAGATAACTGCTTAAATATCGGGTAAAGCAGTCATTGAAAATGGCATTGTCTTGCCTAGTGTTACATCAAACTATCTGATGTCAACTTATTCACAAATATATTTCCAGAATTATTTTAACACTAATAAAACTATTAAACTATGTTTAAATCATTTTTTAAAAATGTTTTCCCTCTTTTTTTTCCCACATCACTTTTTTTTCTTTAAGAATGTAATAAAAAGGAAATCTTAATGGTTTCCAGTCAAATATATATTCCTTTCACTCATATGACAGAATATATCTTCTATTTTTCACTCGTACTTCACACTTGTGATCAGTCTAGATATTCTGCCATACTCATTAAATATATATGATATTATATGGAAAACCATTTACTATCCTCTTTTCCTGTCAGAGTGTAGCACCACCATCAGTAATGTGTCACCCTTAGTGGAATTTTAGTTACATTTGTATTTATTAGTAACTTCAACAATAATCATATCATTGTAATTATTTCATGTTTTTTTTTGGTGTCTGTATCAATTGATGTAGGATTACTTCCATATCAGCTACAACTTAAGATATAATCACTTTTATTTGCTTCCTGGTAATCCGAACGTGTATGGATATCGTGAAATATCAATTTGTCTTGATTAAGATTAAATTAATATCAAATAATGTTATAGTTTGTTGTGAATTTGAGACTGTGGGGTCATGAAATTTATGATTTTTATAAAGCACCTTAAGACACTTCCAAGGATGAAGAGAATTTGGTTCTCCTTCATCTAGGTATTGAAGAGAAGAGTTTTAATTTTCGGTCAATTTGGCCCATATTTGGCCTGTCCAACAGCCCCTGGGGGGGTCAGCCAAGGTCAATATGTACATCTCATCAAACTGTCATCTTATATATCAATAACTATTTTGAACTATTTCCAATACAATCTAAACAAATTATTGCTCAAAAATGTAATTTTCCTATATAAACTATAGTAAACTTTATCTCCTCCCCTGGGGAAATGCGACACCTTGAAGTCATGAAATTTACAATTTTGGTAAAACATCTAAAGGCCTTTCCACCTATGAGGAGTATTTGATTCTACCACATCAGGAAATTGAGAAGAAGAATTTTGAAGTTGCCATCAATTTGACCATTTATGGCCCCACCTCTCGGGCCAATTGGGGTTGGGGACCATATAAATTTGGTGTGCCTTTAGTCATAGAAGATTTTAGTAAAATTTCATCAAGTTTTCCAGAAAAAGGAGAAAATGCCCAAAGTTCATGATGCACAATGCAAGATGCTGCACAAAAGGGGATCGTAATAGTTGAAATACACATTCAACTTAAAACTCTCTCTTTTTTTTTAATATATATCGTCAAGAGAAAAATCTTTGATTCATCACTGCAATGTGATGAACAAAAACAGTTATGTATATACACAGATATTTGGAATGGTGGTGCTCTTGCCTTTACAAAATCAATCTAAAATATTCTAAATAATAGGCCACAATTCAGCGTCCTCTTAGGATTAGAGTCCAACTTCCAACAATTAATCAAAAGATCAAATTCATTTATTAGCTTCAATTCCGATTATTGGAATGCAGTTACAGAAACTGTAGAATGAAAACTGCCTAACGCTTGTTTTCTAACTAATGAGCACATTTTCAAACAAATCCAAAACAGCAAAGTCCGAAACTACACAAAATGTTGCAACCCTAATTAATTCCCCCATTTGATGTACACAGTATCTTTTTGTCATCATAAAATATCTATGTTAAATTCTGTGTCAATGAAATTGTGAATCATTTACATGTATAAACACATGTTTATCTATTACACATAATTATTAGGAATGCTCAAGTGAAATATATAATATTGCTGCCATTTGACATTTCAATCAATAATGATGATGGATATTGACAGTTGTAAATCCTATTACCATGTTATTTCTGATGCTTCAATTATACCTCAGCATCTAATGTTAACCTTATGTAATAGGTAGATGGCAGTGAAAGGACATCCAATTATGTCCAGCACCATATATCCAAACACATTGCACTACCGCTGAGACCTTGGTGTCCACATCAAATAATTTACTATTTACAAATCCTACATTGTGATTTAACGAGACATAAAACAGGCACTTCACTACAGTGAAATAGCCTGATGACATTAACTCACAAATATCGCTCAAATAACTCTCAAACATCACACTTATGCATGCACCAATATTTCTGTAAATCTTAGCACAGGAATATATTTGTATCCAGTTCTTCAGGTATATTGCAAGTATACTACTAGATTAAGATTTGTTATTTATTAGCAATACAGTCAGATGTATCAAGATCATTAGTCATCAGCATCCTCATCAACCAGGAGAACACATGCAAACCCAGGAGAACACACGAAAACCCAGGAGAACACATGCAAACCCAGGAGAACACAGGAAAACCCAGGAGAGCACACGTAAACCCAGGAGAGTACACGTAAACCCAGGAGAGCACATGTAAACCCAGGAGAACACGCATAAACCCAGGAGAACACACGAAAACCCAGGAGAACATGCGTAAACCCAGGAGAACACACGAAAACCCAGGAGAACACGAGTAAACCCAGGAGAACACACGTAAACCCAGGAGAACACGTAAACCCGGGAGAACACAAGAAAACCCTTTACACTTCACTTAAGTTTGGCATTACATCTTCATTACACCTCATCTCTAAATCTGAAATTATGATTTTACCAGAATTCATTGCATAGTTTTAAGAACTGTTACAGTTTGTATGGATAATATCTAAGATCACACCTAGACAAACAACATTTTAGACTATCAGTGTAAGTAATTTAATGATGTACAACCATCTCATTTCTGACATATACTTCATACATCCTCAATAAAACAAAGGTGTAAAACTGATTAAAAACACACAGACTGGAAACAATGTCCTATACTACTCCTACTACTTGGTAGTCGCCATCGAATTGAAAGTTGAAGGGGACTGGAGACTTATCACCAAGCCTCAAAGCCTCGGCGGGCAGCGATGTGGTTGGATGGTAAAGTGAAACCTGGTTCACCACATGATTGGAAAGCAGGTTCTGATCTCGATTCACTTCCTTCATGTTATTTAGCACTATTAGGTTAGATCTCTCGTAAAGAGAGGGATCTTTAGAACGACATTTACCTGATTCCTGCACTGTGGGGAACTGTTTGGGATGTTTACCCACAGATGAGGAACCCTGATAAAAAACTTCTTCACATCTGGCTGTCTCTGCGATTCTGTTGTATTGTAAGCTGTCTTGGTTCCGAGGTGAGCTAAATCCACTATCCCCTAGGTTTAAATTTTTAGTCTGATCACACAAGTCTGAGATACGTTTGCTACTCCTTGTCCGAGAGTCTATTACTGTGTCATAACTTTGCTCACTTTCCTCAATAAAGCTGTCTACATCTCCATCCATTCCTTCATCCTCATCCTGTACATTATATGGCACATACTCATCAGGGGGAGTAACCTCAGTTACTGGAGTTGTCTCCCTTGCCTCAGGAGGCACACAACTGTTAATTTCGGCTACACAAACCAATTCATTATTGCTGTGCTTTTTGTTAGCTGATTTTGCATCTATATTGTTTCTTTTTTGATTACTTGACTCTTTCCTTCCGTCACTATGACCTCGCTTTGTAAGGAATTCTATAGGTGTTGAACATCTGTCCTTGTCACGACCTTTATTTTGACCTTGAGATAAGCCCACACAGTTAACACCACTGTCCCTTGACAAGGCCTTGATAGAACTTTTCTTGGGCAGTTTTCCATGATATTCATAGCTAATATCATTTTTAGGATAATTACTGTGATAAGCAATACTATGGCGATGTCGGTGTTTACTAGATTTTTTGCCTCTGTGAACACGCTCCTGAACTTTTTCATTAAACAGTTCATCTACTGTGTTGTTGTGGACAGTTTCTCCTGGATCCTTCTGAAGTCCACGTGGAGTAGAACTGTAGAGTGGATCACTGATGCCAGGATCAGTGTGTTTCTGTTGAGTATGATAAGGAAATGAAGGTTGATTAAGGGGAACTGTCTCCTCACTTTCTAAACTGTTATTGTAACATTGATCTGCCTGTACCAACAACTGCTTCCTATCACCTGAGTGACGACGAACTCTGACCCGGTCATTGACTTCGTGTCGTCGACGGTGACCATGACTCTCAGAGTGTCTCCTGTGAATATGGTGATTCTCCTCTGTGTTCTGGGGTAACTGTACTGGTAATGTGGCTGTCTTTTTAGGGCAACCAGGATTTAAATCATTTTTCTTATTCATGCAATTTCCATCATAATAACCTTCAGGTGGCAGTGTAGAGGCCCGTAGATTACGTAAACTTTCTTCAAATCGTGGATCTATCTGGCAGTAGTGTTCTTCGTCATGCTCTGCAAAAGGACTAAGTTTGGATGGATTAGAAACTTTCTGTTGATGCCTTCTAGCTGCTTCATACACCTGTTGCCTCGGAAACAGTTGTTGAGGAGAAACGTAATCAGAGGAGCTTGACCCATCCTGTTTAGTAGTGTAAGCATCCTGACCTGGAGGTTTCTGCTGATTAAGCCAGGTGTTTGTTCGTTCTTGTTTCTCTATCTGTTCCTGGTACCACTGCCATTCAGGAGGAGGGAACTGTGCTGAGAATGTGGCATACTCTCCGCTGCTGGTCGTTGTTGTCGGAGATTCCACTTTCTTTTCCTCCTGTTGCGGTTGTTTCTCCGGTTTCTTTTTCTTTTTACGTCCAAACAACTTTGATAACAAAGATTTCTTCTCTCCTGGAAAACAGACACAGAATGACTGAAATGGTCTCATTAAGAAATATGGTTAATAAAAAAACTAATAGCAAAAGCCAAGGGTATGTAATGCAAAGTAACTGTTTGAATTTGCATTCTCGTATACAAGCACCGGTCATGAATTCATCATTTTGTTTAATGCAAAGAAAAAGATGGCCACTTGTTGCCTCTTTTAAATTTTATATACAAATGATTTTTAATATTCATTGGAATTTTACAAATATTCATAGTTTGATAGTTAGTGCAAGGGGAAATATACATCAATCCGAGTTAAGATGAAGTTTGAACAGGTAATCAATACTCGGAATATGACCTTGTCAATCATCAGTGACATATCGCATACCTTTATCCTTGACTTTGTTGAGGTTGCTATGGGCAAGGTTAAGGTCACGGTTCTCTCCACCCCTACATCCTCGTTCTCCTCTCATTGAGGAACATCTGCTGACAGACTTGGTGTTGTCTCGTTCATCTTTACTGGGCTTGTCTTTCATATGTCTGGCACTCAAACTACGACTGATACGAGGTTTCTCATTGACTATAGACTGTCGTATCTCATCGGTATATATCTCATCCCGTGGTTTAGACAATTCCACTGGTGGGGCCTGAATGGGTGTGATCTGAATAGGCGGAGTCTGGACGAGTGGAGCCTGAGGAATTGTTTGGGGTTGATTCACCAAGCTGACCTGACAGGATATTGACCGTGTTATGGGAGACTTTGGCCTGTTAGCTGGAACAGGGATGTACATTGGGTTATAATGCATCCAGCTCATTGGATAGGTCTGCTGGGGATCATCCGTCGGCAGGCGGTATGTGTCTGGGGTCACCACAAAGTAGCCACTCCCTACAATATACAAAGGAAAACATACATTTAAAATAATATTCAGAAATATCTTAATATATTTATTTCAATGGGTAGCCAACAATACAAATACCAGAAGAAAATTACTGAGAGAGTAAAATAAGTCTGATGACCTGTCAAAGCATTTCTATGTTTTGCTTTTGTATTGAGTTTATCAAAATCTAGTATGTACATGTAAAATTAGCGGCGTGATAACACATCAAGAGATTTCTATGAGAAGTGACCTTGACTCTGAGCAGATTTACCCAGAACAAAGTTATTGTAGGTATTCCATGGTGTTCCAGCTCAAGTCAAAAAATTTTTGTAAATGATATGGATGACCTGGAACTTGTTCCTAAACTCCTAAAATAAAGCGAATTTCCCAAACTGAACTCTTGTGTAAAGGATATTAGCGCAAACTCACAACATTAATGCCAGGTAAATTATAGGAGAGTTCTGAACCTACATATTGTCACAATGCATAAAAGATTAGGTACTATTACAACATATTATGAACCTATGCCACACAATTCAGCCTAGACCACTTTTCATCTCATACATACTGAAACCTATGGTAAAACCTACCTAAAAAGCAACTTTATATCAAGGTCATCTGTCTATAAAAGCCACTTTTAAGGTTCCTTATGTAATACAATTCAATATAATTAAACCTCAATATAAAGGTCACCTGTGTATCAAGGCCACTTTTCCCTGCTCCCTTGAGTGGCCTTTATAAACAGGTTTGACCGCACTTTGCATTCTGTACATTTAATATATTCTATCTAAATGTGTTAAGTCATGTGTTTAGATTGCTAAGTTAATAACCACATGCTAAGTTATCAGGTACCTCGATGAAACGATACCATGGTGACATGAAAACTTTGTCACTAAAGTATTCTACCGTTTTTTTTATCATCTGACATTGAGATGCCTTCCAATCTGAGTAACATACTTCGTCAGAAGATAATTCGGTTTGTCGTAATGCTTGCTCCTCTAGGAAGTTTACATAAAACACAGGTACCTCATCCCAAATGAAAAAGGGTTTGACTTAAACATGCCTGCTGCTCTGGGAAGTCAATATGTACACAGGTAGCTACCAGGAAAGTATTTCTCTTAGAGTGTAACTTAGGTCACCAGCTACACACTCAGACATGTCTGTGTTTGATGTTTATGTACTTACATACATGTATGTGACCTTGACTTCTGTCCTTCTGAACTTTCATAATTCAATGATTAAAACTTTTGTTTTTTGTGAGATTTACTCTAATCAGTGTCTAATGATAACAAAATTTTGTTAAAAGCAATTCTTAAAACCTGACACACATATTTGTTAACTTGTAAATCTTTGGAAGGCCTTCAGGTCCCACACTTTGTATAACGTTATATAAGGACAGTAAACTACCTGTATTTATAGCCCCCTGTAATATACCTGGAGCAGATATGCACATTAATCTTCTAGTATCACCAATAAATCTAATTTATACCTGTGTCTGATATGGGAACTTCATTACTAGGCCTTTGCTCAACGTGCCTTTTAAATCAAATCAATTTGTTTACACAGAATATTTGAATTGGTAAACAGTTGCAACATATTTTGCTTGAAGAGATATTGGGTTCAATTTTGTACTTAAAAAGGGAATCCTAATCCAACATTATCAATGACAATATATTTAATGGTGGGAATCCTGTTTCTACAGAACAAATATGTCTAGCTTTACTGGGTCATATAACCAACTTGAAATTCAAAGGCTGAATAAGCAACAAACAAATTTGCATCAAGTAATTAGGTGGATGTAAACAATCTGGAGAAGTTGTTTATACTTGTGCTGTTGTATTCAAATAGATTTATTCCTTTTTTAAAACTTGCCTAATTGTGCCATTCTAATATGTATTTCTTTAGATAAAAAATGTTCTACGCACTTTGAATGAAAAAACACAAAAGTATAATATATTGATATTATGTATATCTGTGCTGAAACCTGAAGTTTTCAGTGTCTGTGATCTCCTGAATTTGGGCTTCATAAATAAAACCATACACCGCAGAACATTACAATAATATAGAAATATTCCTTACTTGTTGATACGTTATTGATTACCTAAAGAAACCTTCAAAGATTACCAATTATGATGATTTATCTATCATGGTCCTCACTCCACTGATCTTGTATGTAACAGGTAATGTAACAGCGGAGCAACCAGGTAAAAAATCACTGTAATTACAGCGACACAGTAACAACAAACCATCTAAATCGTACGTACTTTAGGAATACAAAATATCTCATAAGGGCCACTTAACCTTAAAAATTAGACTATATAATTGTAATGCATCTCCATATCATGCTCTAAAGATTTTAAGATTAAAAGTTTCAAAGTTTCCATAAAAACATTTGTAAAACTTTAATAGCATGTAACAAGCATAATTTTCAACAAGTTGAGCCGAACTGACTTCTGAAGCAGGCGTGTATTCTATTGAAGTTTAGGACACCTAATAAACAGTATGTGATACATCTGATTTTTTTTTTTTTTTTTGTAAATGTTTAACTTTCCTATACAAAATAATATTCTAATTAAGCTGTATCTTTCCAACAAATCTTTGAATATACATATCCCAGATATTTAAAACCTAAGGTTTTAAACATACATCAAATCAGCATGCCTTTCTCATATGTAAAGATAATTTATGATATTCCTCACCTTATTATACAAACTAAAAACAATGAGAGTAAGTTCACTTTTAAGCCATCTAAATTACTCCATCACATTCAGCTGTACATTTAAAATGGTCCTCATTTTCAAATATGAATTTTGATTTCTATGACAGCTTCAAGCTATAAGGGGAGATAAGCATGTATAGGACAAGCTACTGTTACATAATCCGGAGCTGACAATTAGAATATAGTAGTATGGGTTTAGTTTTTATGCCTGTGACACCATCACCACAGTATTCTGAGTTCTAACTGGTTAATTAAATTGCATTCGTTAAAATTATCAATAAATGATTCTGGACAGGATTGCAGACAAAAAGTGCAATACAACACTGCATCCTGAATCAGCAAAACTACATATGCTTACAAAAATGTTAATAATTAAAACAATAAAGATAAACAGATAAAATATAAAATATTGATTTCATCACGCCAAATGAAGTTATTTATATGTTTGCTGCCTCATAAATATACACCTAGATGATTACCTAATGTTGACATATGATAATACCAGTGATTTTTAGTTAAGTTGAATGTTCTAGCCAGGAGCTGTCTTTCTACCCTATATAATGGCTGACCCAGCTTTACATATTAATCCAGGAAGATTTACACGGGTGATTATCCACAGCGCAGTAATCAATGGATTAGGAACAGCTAGATAAGTCCTAACATCCTCAGGGTGGGCATGACCTAGTCAAACAGATGATGTACCTTCCCCTTATCACATGTAAAAGTAAAACAGCTATTTTTCAGGCCATTGATAAAACTTTGTTACGTGTCAATATAAAACAGGAATGTCTTATCTTCCTGTGTGTCTGCATGAGATAGAAATTGAAAAATATTGCACTGATTCAGCTATGTAAATGTTTGCCTTTCCACCAGAGTTATTGTCTCTTCACTAATGAGAAGCTCTCTAACTCAGGCAGCAACACAGAATCTATGTTTAATAGTGGTAATATTAAATATATGACACCTTATCTACACTTTCCCTCTATTACAACTTCAAAGCAAATTCATTACACCAATACGATATTTCATCAATGACAAAATTAAGAAAAAAAAAGAAAGTGCTGACGTGTTTGGATTACTTGTTAAAAGCATGTGAAAGCACTTGTACTTTTGGAAAAGTCACACACACAAAAAAATGTGAATTTTATATTGTTGATGTAGTGAGAAGTGCTATCCTAGTGAATAACAAAACTCAATATTGCCAGTAAGGTATTGGTATGGTGGAGTGCATGTCAAACACTTGCCTATTTACCTTTAATCAATAATAACCAGGATAACTGGCCTATTAACCATTGCTAAGAGGAACAGTCTGAATACTGTACCCATTCTAATTATGACAGATTTAGATTATTCATATCCAACAGCCACAAGCAAACAGTACTTTTATTTCACACATGACCCTTCAAAGATAGTTCACATGTATCTTTACAACACAAAGGATCATGTTTGACTAGAAACATGTATAACTCACTATCTGCGATAAATCTAGAAGTTAAACTCAAACTCCAGCTTTCAGCACAGATCACAATGTCATCAGAATAATCTATATGAGTTTTACTTCTTTATTTCAAAGCAGAGGTGTATTCAATAACCACCTTACCTTGTTACAAACAGGACTCCAACTCTAGTACAATGTTCCTACGACATTACTTTGTACTCAGTTTTACCATCAGGACCGGTCTATGATTGGTAAGGCAGACTTACCTTTGTGATTCTAAAGTAATGTAGTCTAACATTACCCTTTGTACTTATTGATGTTGCCTTTTTTCTCTATACTGAGTATGATATATGCCAAATTTATTTGCCAAAAAATATTTTGCAGAAATTTAACAATCTTAGCTCTAATTTCTGGTATGAAAACTACAAACTGAATATGTATTAAATGACCCGTGTTGTAATGGATAAACACCCCATCTGGGCCTATCTAGTCTGATCGCTGTCACCACAAAATCCTCATTATTTTGGTTACTGAGCTGGTGTCAGAATCCATAGCCTTTAGCTGTTTCCCACTGTTATGTGCACATGAAAAAACCATTTACATACACTGATACTGTGTTTAAGATGACACCTCTGGTCATACATAACCTTCTCATTGATTAACCAGGTACACAGTCAACTTCTCTATCTGAGATGTTGGTGTAGCTTTCCATCCACATCTTAGGATCGCCAATTATATACAAGTTAAAACAAATGTTTAACCTACACTTAGTGTCCAACAAGTATCACTACACCCAAATCAAAATATGAAAGCTGGATTAGCAGCACTCATATTTAATTAATAACCTACAT